GGATGGTTTTTTTTTTTTTTTTTTTTACTTGCAAGTCTTGAGGGAAGAAAACTGGCCCACATCAAGAAGCAGACTACACATAGGCATCTTTTTAGAGGTAGAAATGTTTATGGATGCTAAATACAGAAAGAAAGCCCACAGGTTCGGTTGCAAAAACATTCATGCATGTTTGTGTGGTGAGGGGCTGCACTTCTTATTGTAGATGATTATCCTTTTAAACCTTTGCTGCACAGCAGTTACAAGCTGGCTGAAGATTGGTGATGGCCCTTTGTTTACTGAATGTCTTCTTGCTTTGGAGGCTGACAATGATTAAGAGCACACATGCAGCACAAAGCTTCTATTTAAGCCATCTGAACTTCTGTAACTATGAGGGGAACTGCACATGCCTTGTACTGGTGTTGTAAAGTGTCAAATAGGATATGCCCTTTGCTTCCTGTGCAAGAACTGGCCCAACATATCTAAATGTGTTGCAAAAGTTAATTTCTTTTCTGTAATTCAGAAGTTTTGAATGTTGTTTCTATGCTAATATTATATTTACATGAACTTCATCTCAATGGTCCTTTTTATTTTCCGTTTGTATTTAGACTTGAAGCAAATTTGGGTGCAATTTAAGAAGTCTTTATTAAAACCTGAAACTGGACCCAGCAATACAAATAAATCTCAGCATCCAAACAGACCCCCAGTCTCTACCAGAACAAGCAAAGTAAAAGATGTAAAGAACAAAATCATAACCAATAACAAGCTACCGATAGTTAAAAGAAGAGGGTTTTTTTTTGCCATTTTCCATCTCCACACACAAACACTATGGAAGCAAAGTTTTAACCTCTGAAAACAGAATCCAAAATCAATGCATGCTAAATTATTATACTGTGTTGTATTTTGTATTTGAAGTATAATATGAACATATTTAAAGTTTCCAAATGAAGCTCCCAAAAAGCATGACCTGAACAGCCAACTCCTGCTCAGGTGTGAAGCTGGATCACATGACCGTGTAGCCGCTGCGAATACCTCTTATCAGCATGCAAGCAAACACAATCCCCACAACCTGGAAGGGAGAGAGAGAAAATTGGCACTGTTGTTTCTGAGATATGCCTGTTTGTTTTCTTACACTGCCTATAACTAAACTCGATTTTGTTGACGTATTATACCAAATTTGGCCAACATTTTATTTAATGGTGCGTTCCATTAGAAGTGAGAAGTTGGGATTTCTGAGTTCCTAGTTGGAAATTTCAACTGGAACACCCCCTGATGTGGGATTTCTGTTTCAGAAAGCCTTAAGAGCTTCACCAACCTTGACCTCAAAATCCAAAATGGCTGCTCCACACATCAGCAGTAATATACTATTTATTAGCATTTGTCTTATTCGGGACTCAGTAAAACAGTCGTGCGCACAGTAAGGTCCAATGGGAACATGTTACTACAGTGTTCGTATGCGCCAACTACATCATAATGCTTTGTTATAAACTGGTATCGCTAACAGTCTTTAACCTGGCATGAACTGGGATTATGGTTAACTGAAACTGGAATGCAGTTAACTCAGGTGTGATGTCATTCCCAGTGCTAACTTCAGTGTTCCACATCATCACTCCGTGTTGATCAGTACACCGATCAGGCATAACGTTGTGACCACTGGCAGGTGAAGTGAATGACACTGACTATCTGTTACAGTGGCACCTGTCAGTGTGTGGGGTATACTGCGCAGCAAGTGAACATTCAGACCTTGAAGTTGATGTGTTGGAAGCAGGAAAAATGGGCAAGTGTAAAAATGTGAGTGACTTTGACAAGGGCCAAACTGTGACGGTGAAATGACTGGGTCAGAGCATCTCCCACACTGCAGGTCTTGGTGGGTGTTGTTGGTCTGCAGTGGTTAGTACCTACCAACAGTGACAGTGGACTAAGGAAGGACAAACGGTGAACTGGAGACGGGGTCATGGATGTTTACGGCTCACTGAGGATGAGGTTGACCTACTGTAGATTAAATGTTTAACTTCCATTTGTACTTCTCAAAACATTAAAATTTATTTGAATCTTTGTTAAAATGGTTGAAAATAACAAAATGTGCATTGGTCTCTATGAAGCAGGAGGGGGAAGCAGTGCCCTGCCAAAACTGCGGAGCTGTCAACTGATCACCACCTGGTGGTGAGCTGGATCCGATGGCGGGGGAGGAAGCTGGACAGACTCGGCAGACCCAAACGTATTGTGAGGGTCTGTTGGGAACGTTTAGCAGAATCCCCTGTCAGAGAGATCTTCAACTCCCGCCTCCGGCAGAGCTTTGACCAGATCCCGGGGGAGGTTGGAGATATCGAGTCCGAGTGGACCATATTCTCCACCTCCATTG